CAGGTTCTTGCTGTACCTTTGGGGCAACCTAAATCTGCAAGGTCTTTCCTTACAAAACATTTGGCTGCTTGCTATACAGAGGAAGGATGCTTGACTGACTGTCAAACCTAACTCAGAATAGTTCTGTTATTTTTGGACTCTTCTTGTAAACATAAAGCCTCATAGTGTCTACACAGGCTTTCTAGAAACTTAAAATATGTTCAGGCATCTTGACTTATAATATGGTCAGGCATCTTGACTGGGAGCTGGCTAGTGGGTGACCAGTGACTGTGGAATCGATAACTGTCTGCTTCTCAAAATGCTCTGGATTTATGGAAATGGTCTAATCTAAAATATTTTGTTATATCTTGATCAGTGTAAGGAACAACACATAAATGTTTTACAATGTATTTTTCTACTTTTAGCTTGTGTCATTTTCTTTTTGTTTTTAACTTTGTAGTACATTAAAGCTTTTTTATATGGTGGAATAGACATTTCTTAAATATTGTATGGATATGAAAATTCAGAAGTCTTGGTTTGAAAGTATTACATTCCATTTTGGAATCTCTTAAGGGCTGGACAAAGGATGTGTGGACTAATTAATTGTTGCTAATTTAGAATACCTGTGGAACAACCAGTCTTCTGCTCATTGATAAAGATGTTTGGGACATTGAACTTAGTTTATTTCTTTTAGGTTTGCTTTAAAAGTTTATTTTAAAATTCTTTCACTTACTCTGATTAAACCTCTTCTAAGTATCACAGCAGTTATAGAGCTGTACTTGATTTTCCCAGCACAGTAAGAATAGAACATTGATCCTGTTCATCTTAAAACTGTGTTTGTACTTTACCAAAGTTTTTCATTAAAAAAAAAATAAATCTATTATTGGTGCAGTAAAAAAATAAGTAATAGCTGGATATGCTTCAGTCAATCAGACCATCTTATCAGGAAAATTGTTACACCTTAAATAAGATTACTTTTATGAATAAGTGGATTTGTCTGGCTGAAGTTACTCATTTTACATTACTCAATTGATGAAAATGTGACCTGTCTGCAATAAAATGTGCACTGTCTTACTTCTGTGCTATATCCTTTCCCCTGTGTTCAAGCACACTGTCACGAGCCGATATTGGGGTCTACTGGCTGTCAGGTGCTCCCGTGACTTCCCCTATAATGTGGAGGGGTTATTGAGTGAGACCGAGGGCTCACACATGGCGCTGCCTCTCACACAGGACTGGCCGCTGCAGGACCTGGTCTTACTACCACCCTTTCACCACGCTCACAAATTGCTACTGAGACCAATGTTTAGTTTACAGATTAACCTGGTTTATTAAGGGTTAACATAAACTGAGAGACTAAGGTCTAGGAGAGGTAGGCTTAGGGATATATCAGGAAAGTAATTCAAAGGTACTGTGGTCCTATTAAATGTACACACCAAAGGAGAGGTGTGGAATCAATGGAGTGAAAGGGCAGGAGTTGAGCCCAGCAGGAAAGTTAGAGCTGAAAGTTAGCTGTAGCTTTGTGTGTGTGTGTATTTACCCTTCCGTAGCGTGTGGCTCCTGGGATGCGGCTTCTTTTCCAGCCGGCAGGGGTCGGCAGCAGGTCCGTAGGGGGCCGGGTTCCCGGTAACAGGGGTGACCCCCCAGCAGCAGCAGGTGGATGCGGCTCCAACCGGGGGCAGAGCGGCAGGCGGACGGGGCAGGCAGCCGCGGGCTCCGGTCCGGTTTGGCTCTGGTGTTGGCCTTGGGCTGCTCAGGCTCCAGCGAGCAGCTCCTCGGGAGCAGTACGGGCAGCCCCACCTCGCCTTGGCTCCTCCGGGCAGCAGTGCTGGGTTCCAGGCGGCTTCTAGTGCTGCAGCAGGGTCTCCTCCCGGGCAGGCAGAGACAGTAGAGCCTGCAGAACTTGCCCTCTTGTACAGATCAGGAATTGCTGTTCGAGGAAGTACCACTGATCAAACTAGCCAGTTAGCACTGGCCAGGTACGTGCTCTGCCAGAGGCATCTTTTACCTGTTGTCCATTTTGCTGCCAGGTATCATAACCCTTGTGCTCTTTTCTTGTTGTGGACTTAACTGGTAGAGCAAGGGGCCTGTTCCGGTCCGTCCTTGGCTAAATCTGCAAAAAGATGCCACTCTTGCTTTGCTGGCTTGAAAGGTATTTTGTTTAGTCTTCTGTGGGGGAAGAGAAGATGGACCGTTCCCCACACACACCTTTCTGTGGAAACAAGGAGCCTGGTTTTGATGACGCTTCAAATACGTTACCTTTTAGTGATGTTTTTATCCCCGCTACCAGTATAGGGACTTTGATTCCTCCCGTTGTTACTGATACCAAGTTACATTCCATCATGGTTTTTTTTTCCAGTAGTGCTTTTACTAAAGGGTACTGCTTGCTGTCCTGATTCCCACAGGAACTTCAAGTAGTTTGCTGTGCTCCCCATAGCGTGGCTCACGTTGAATCTCCTGGCTCTGGGGACTGGGGGTCGCTATGGCTGCCCAGGAAAGCCCACACCCCGTCTGTGGGGTCTGGGGGTTGCTGTGGCTGCCCAGGAAAGCCCACACCCCATCTGTGGGGTCTGGGGGTTGCTGTGGCTGCCCAGGAAAGCCCAGGGTCGCTGTGGCTGCCCAGGAAAGCCCACACCCCGTCTGTGGGGTCTGGGGGTCGCTGTGGCTGCCCAGGAAAGCCCACACCCCGTCTGTGGGGTCTGGGGGTCGCTGTGGCTGCCCAGGAAAGCCCACACCCCGTCTGTGGGGTCTGAGGGTCGCTGTGGCTGCCCAGGAAAGCCCACACCCCGTCTGTGGGGTCTGAGGGTCGCTGTGGCTGCCCAGGAAAGACCACACCCCGTCTGTGGGGTCTGGGGGGCGCTGTGGCCGGGCCGGGGA